GCCATTGCCTTGTGTGAGGAGCACAGACTGGAGCACAGAACGAAGCATATCGCTCTGCGCTACTTCCTTGCTCGAGAGCTGCAGCAGCGCGGTCAGCTTCGTCTGCGTTACGTGGCCACTCGGGCCAACACTGCTGATGTGTTCACCAAGGCGCTTCAGCCTTGTGACCATCAGCGCTTCTGTACTGTTCTAGGCCTCGTGCCTACTGGGCCTCACTTGCTTACTTCTTGACTCTGCTTGTACTGTGATCTCTATATATATACCTGCTTGTTTACTCTTGCTAGGTTGTGATCACTGTATCTCTTGTTATACTATCAACCTGCATGTGAACTGGTCTTGTGACCACTTGCTTGTGCTCAGAATTTGTGTGGTTTCCTTGAGATCCACCCTGAGCTTGCTTTGCTTTGCTTTGACTGGTCTTGTGACCATCTGGTTGTCTCCCACTTAGCCTATGGGGGTGTGTCAAACATTATATGTTCATATTGTGTAGGCTATAGTGGGTTTTGCCTTAGGGGGTACAGCTTTGTTAGGGTTTCCTACTTGTATCCCCCTCCTACCTAGTTTCATTCATTCTCGTTCTATTCTGGATTCTAACACGACATTCATCGGCAATTTGCTCCCCTCTTCGCCAAGGAGTGTCGACAACGGCACCAATTTTTCAGTCGAAGGAAAGAACGTCGAAGAAGAGGTAGTCGACAGCTGCTCCCCTGTCGAAGAAGAATCAGAGCGGGTATCTTCTGCAGTGCGAACCTGCTCTGCGGAAGGAGCGTCATCTGCAGGAGAAGGGTCTTCTGCAGGAGGAGTCTCTGGCAACGGCGAGAGTTGCACTGGAGGGTTGTCAGGAGGCAGCTGCGGTCGAGGAATCGGCGTAGGCACGAGCAGAGGGGCTGGTGCCTTAGTCATTTCGTCATCATCGTCGTCATCATCCGCAGGATCCGTCGGGAATGATGCCACATTGTCGAGCGCAGCACGGTCGACGGTGGGACTCTGCTTCGTCGCCTTCCACTCTGCAAGAGACATTGTCTCGTAGAAGATGGCCTCGACCGTGGTGATCAAACGGTTGGTCGACAAATCGAGGACCAACCACCCCTTACTCTGCTGCGAGACACCCAGGTGGAGACCCAAGCGAGCTTTCGGCTCCAACTTCCCCCCCCGCTGACTCTCTGGAATAAGGTACTGCAGCATACACCCCCAAACTCTAGCCATCCCAAGATCAGGCTTCTTGTCGAAGAGCACTTCATAAGGAGTTACCCCTGATGGCAGAGAGGAATGTTCCAGACGATTCCTCACCCAAACAGCTTGCAGAGCTGCAAGGTGCCACCAATGGTGGGGAGCTCCCATGTGCAGAAGCATTGTCCTAACTGCTTCGACGACAGTCCGCATTTCCCGTTCTGCCATCCCGTTCTGCTGCGGCGTATAGGGGCAGGTGAGGTCGTGCTCAATCCCCTTCTCTTCGAGGAACTCGGTGAATTTACTTCCCAAAAATTCGCCACCTCGATCGGAGCGGAGAGCCTTCAGCGAAGCCTCACATTGCCTCTCTGCACGCGGAAGCCACTTCTGGAAAACGCGCAGAGCATCGCTTTTCTGCGCAATCGGGTAGATCCAGACGTAGCGAGATTTTCGATCCTTGAGCAGAAGAAAGTAGCGGCTGCCATCTTTCGCAGGAACTCGGAAGGGCCCGCATAGATCGATGTGCACTACTCCCAGCACCTTCTGCTCTTCACTCCCCTCTTGAGGGAAACTATGCCAAATAAGCTTTCCCCCCACACAAGAAACACACGGTAGATCAGGGTTGGCCGACTTGTCAATATCCAAGCCTGTCGCTGCACCATGCGTCGCCGTCTGCTTGATTGTTTCGACGCCCGCATGAGCTAGTCGAGGATGCCACACGACCATCTTCGCCCGTGTATCCGTCGCCAAGGTCCGCAGAGCAATCGCCTCCCCTGCCGATTTCTGCAGCGGCCACACCTGGAGATCTGTGCTGAGCACTCGTCCTCTATAACGAGCGCGTCCAAGGACTGTCCCATCAGTAGAGAGAAGGAGGGTCTCTTCACCTTCATCCTTCAGCTTTACTCCACAATCCTTCAGCTGCCCAGCAGACAACAGATTCGCATGGATTCCAGGCACGTAGAGCACATCAGGAATCAGAATCTGCTTCCCAGCTTCACCGCGTAGAGCGATTGTTCCGCGACCACACACGTCTTGGAATGCCCCGTTGAATCCGCGAACATGTTTAATGTCCCCGCCTTCATGCATTTCGACAAAGGCTGCATCGTCGCCCATCAGATGATGTGAGCAGCCACTGTCGAGAAGAACAACTGAAGGATTGGCCTCGACGGCTGCAGCAATCGCCTGAAAATCCTCACCATCTTCCGCATTCAGCGAAATGAGCAGATCGGTCGTCTGCAGTTGGTCCACAACTGGTCCCACCATTGAACAAGAAGGTCCCTTTTTGTTGGTCGAATTGGAGTTGTCGCTCTGCGCTCCAGTCTTCGAAGAACTCTCCTTCTGCGCGGAAGCATTGTTCTTCTTGTCAGCACGTTGTTCGCACTGGAACGCAAAGTGTCCGACTTCTCCGCAGACCCAGCAAGGTTTCTTCGAGCTCCGTTTGTTGTTCTGCTGTCGACCATCTTTCTTTTGCTGCTCCTTGTTCGACGACTTCTGCTCCGTAGAACCGCCAGTTGTCGAAGAAGACCAACGCTTTTGCTGCTGCTGTTGCTGTTGCTGACCCGTCGACGCCCAGTTGACCTGTGGCAGAGGTGATTCCTTCCGCTTTTCGAGCTCGAGCGTGCACTCCTCCGCGATAATTCTGCTCGTCAAAGTGTTTTCGTCGAGAGTCTTGCAGTTTTCCGGACATTGTAGCGTTCGTCGAAGGTACTTGTACTCCGCGGGAAGACCTGTAAGGACATGAGTCACACACGAAGCCATCGAATAGTTCACGCCAGCCATTCGCAGATTAGCAAGAATCATCTGCGCACGATTGCAGTAGGTCGTCGCCGTCTCATGCTCCGCCATCTCTAGCGTCGCCAAGCTCCTCTCCAGCTGGCCGATATAGAGATAGTCCGTTGCTTTGTAGGTCTCCATGATGAAGCGCCATGCCTGATAGCCCGCGTCCACTCGAAGACGACATGACTTCAATGCGATCTTCACGGATGGAGAGCAGCAGCGCGATATCACCATAAAGGTCAGAAGTTGCGCCGAGCGAAATTGTGTATACTGCGAAATGTCGCTCAGCCGTGGAACCTTGATCAAGCCGTCGATGAACTGCTTCAGCTGCGCGATTTCAAGTTGAGGCTCAATGGACTCCCTCCACACGGATAAGTCATGACGTCCTTCCAGTGGCTTCGGCATCGTGATCTTGTCGGGAGAAAATTTGAAGTATCCGTAATCAGGAGCAATTCCGCCGTCTTTCGATGCCGATGGATGAGAAACTGCCGAGCTTCCACCAGTCTTCACTGCAGATCCTCGACCGCTCAAGCGTCCTTTGCCAGCCGCCTTCTTCGGACTTGCATCCGCCTTCTGCTGCGAGCCTTCTCCAGGGCTCATCAGTTCTCCTTGTCCTAGAACACCTCGTGGCTCCTGCATTCCGCCTTCTTCCGGTTCTTCAGCGTTCTCGTCGTCTCCAGAAGTCTGCGATTCCTCGTCTCCCTCTGCACGAGTCGGTGGATGTTCCATCTCCCATTGAGCTCGTACTCCCAACAGCATGAAGTTGAGCTCCTGCTCGGTGAGGTTTCCACCTTCATGACGAGCAAGCACCGCAGCCTCCCGCTCACTTAAACTGTCGATTCCCTCGAGGATATCCTCAGTATCCTCCATGTCGACAAGCTAAGTTCAATGAGACCTAACGTAGAAGAACGGGCTCTATGCGTGTTCGATCCACGCTCACCGCACCATGCAGAGATTTCTGCTCTAACGGGTGAACGAGCTCTACGGAATGCTTCTCTGCAGCCACGCAAACTTTGTTGTTCACTAAGGAGAAAATTGGCTAAGTGTTGAAAAAGGCATAGATTTGGCACACACAGAAAATTCACTAGAATTGTAAAGATAGAATACAACAAGGGGTGAAATAGAAGCTACCCAACCAATGAACCATGTAGAGAACGTTCGCCCAAGAACGTTTACATAACTACTTCTAGCTGCGCTTTGCCAACTCAGCGTCGGCAGGTGAAAATTACAACATGTGCTTAGTAGGTAATTTTTACCTACATAAAAGTAGTTGTTTTAGCTGTTCAGGTTGTTCTAAACAACTTCTGTAACGCACGTTTTCGTAGTTACGAAAACGTGCGCCAGGTTCATTCTGTGCAGGTGGTTCAGTTTCGCCCCAGATTGAACACCCCAGTTTCGCGCACTGTTCCCCGGGGTCAATTTCTCAATGTCCGCAATGTTCCGAAATTCCCACGCAAAAGTTCCGAAACGATCGCGTTTTCGCGTCGGAGAGGTTCGTCGGTCGAGAATGTGCTTCTCTGCAGAAATTCGTTTCTGCAGACGCGCCTTTCTCTGCAGAACGATTTCTGCAGATGCGCACTCTTCTGCAGATGCGCACTCTTCTGCAGCACCACGATCCTCTGCAGATTTCCGCCTCTGCGAAGTACTTCTGCTGCAGTGCAGAGCTCCACCCTGTCCTCTGCAAATTTCCGCTTCGGGGAATTTCGCGTCCCTGCAGAACACGACGACCCTCTGCAGGGTCAGTGCAATCTCAACAGCATCGCGCGCACTCACCGCCTTGCGCGCACGCGCCATGGCTTCCCCTCTGCGCCTCTCTCCCGCGCTGCTTCGACCGTCCCCACTTCCCGGGTAGCGCGCCTTCCGCACTCGCGCCTTCCGCACTCGCGTCTTCCGCGCGAGAATTGTCGTCACAACCAAAACCGATCAAGCAACCTCGACACGACCATTACCACAATTGGGGAAGCGTGTATGACTGTGCCGCTGAGACGATGATCCCTTAAGAATAACTTCTTATGCCTGCCCTTCCCCTCCCCCGCACCGTCCCTGCCCTTCAGGGAAATTCACCTCTGGTGCGTCAAATTGCCCTCCTTCTCCTCCTCCACCGCACGCTCCTCTTCCTCTGCTTTCGCCGATCCCTCCCTGCTCACCTCCTATTGGTCGCTGCTGAGTCAGCAGGAAAAGCACCGGATCGCATCGTCACCGCCGCATCAGCAGCACGCAGCCGCCACGCTGCCATCCCCTCGCCTGCTGGCGGACGCCTATTGGCTGAGCGGCGGCGACTCCGTGCCGTCCCCCTCGCTGCCGTGGCCGCTGTCCCCCGCGCAGCTGCAGCAGCTGCTCACGCGCGCCCTCGTGCGCGTCTCGCTCGCCCGCTGTGAGTCGCGCGCCCGCTGTGAGTCGCTCGCCCGCTGTGAGTCGCGCGCCCGCTGTGAGTCGCTCGCCCGCTGTGAGTCGGGCGCCCGCTGTGAGTCGGGCGCCCGCTGTGAGTCGCTCGCCCGCTGTGAGTCGCTCGCCCGCTGTGAGTCGCTCGCCCGCTGTGAGTCGCGCGCCCGCTGTGAGTCGCTCGCCCGCTGTGAGTCGCTCGCCCGCTGTGAGTCGCTCGCCCGCTGTGAGTCGCTCGCCCGCTGTGAGTCGCTCGCCCGCTGTGAGTCGTGCTTGCGCGGGCTGCTTGGGACGCTCGCTCGATCCTCACCGCGGCTGTGCTGCACTGGAAGCTCCTCACAACGGTTTGCTCTGTTGGCATGCATGCGCGATACACGACGTGCATTCACCCACTTGTCGAACCGTGTACAGAGTCATGCACTCGCTCGCTCACTCACAATCCTCACCTGTACGCTCATCCGCCCACACATCTCGCGCCCCTCCCTTCCCCCCCACCTCCCCTCCCCTCCCCTCCCCCCTCCTTCCCCTCCCCTCCCCTCCCCTCCCCTCCCCTCCCCTCCCCTCCCCTCCCCTCCCCTCCCCCCCTTTCCCTTTCCTACCCCCACCCCCCAGACCTGGAGGGGCGGGTGCACCCGGGAGACATTCTCTTCCGCGCCAACCCCTGGGGCAAGCCGCAGGTGGGATGAGGAGCAAGCCGCAGGTGGGATGAGGGGCAAGGCGCAGGTGGGATGAGGGGCAAGCCGTAGGTGGGATGAGGGGCAAGCCGCAGGTGGGATGAGGGGCAAGGCGCAGGTGGGATGAGGGGCAAGGCGCAGGTGGGATGAGGGGCAAGCCGTAGGTGGGATGAGGGGCAAGCCGCAGGTGGGATGAGGGGCAAGCCGCAGGTGGGATGAGGGGCAAGGCGCAGGTGGGATGAGGGGCAAGCCGCAGGTGGGATGAGGGGCAAGCCGCAGGTGGGATGAGGGGCAAGCCGCAGGTGGGATGAGGGGCAAGCCGCAGGTGGGATGAGGGGCAAGCCGCAGGTGGGATGAGGGGCAAGGCGCAGGTGGGATGAGGGGCAAGGCGCAGGTGGGATGAGGGGCAAGCCGCAGGTGGGATGAGGGGCAAGCCGCAGGTGGGATGAGGGGCGAGCAAGGAATCAGGTGCAGTGACGGGGTTGGATAAAAGGGCTGCATGGCAGGCAGGCGCACACGGGGTAGGAGGAGGAATGGCAGTGGGGCGGACAGGACTGGCAGGCTTGCAGTTCACTCGGTAACCGCCGCCCCCCCTTCCCTCTGCTGCTCCCACTTCTTGTTTTCTCCTCTTCTTCCTGTTGACTTGGTGATGTGTTCTGATTCTCAACATTGCATTCTGCCTGCTCCTGCCTTGTTAACTCCGCCCTTCCTGCTGTGTCCCCCCACCCTCTCACCAGGTGTGCTGGGCCTCCACCTTCAACCCTGCCTCGCCCAACCCACGCACCCAGCCCTGGCAGGAGCATGAGAAGGAGGGGGCAAAGCATGCATCACAGAGGAGCAGCGCGGACAGCAGAGAGGCAGGGCAGGCGTCTGTGAGCATGGAGAAGGCAGGTCACCCCTTGCAGTGGCGGCGCGAGGAAGCTGCTGAGACCGCCACGGACAGGGAATGCGGGAGTAAGAGTGCAGGTGACACGGTGACTAGTAGCAGCAAGAGTTCTCTTGACACCCGCCGTGATGACTCGTGCACAACCAGCAGCAGCAGCAGCAGCAGCAGCAGCAGCAGCAGCAGAAGCCCGGGCGACAGCAGCAGTGGAGCAGTGGCGTTGCATTTCAACGTGAGTCACACGGAGGGTCTGATCGCCGTGGCGGTGACGGCCGCCATGCCCGTGGGCGTGGACGTGGAGGGCACCGCTCGCTGCCCCCGGAGGGGCGTGCTGCCCGTGGCCCGCCGGCGGTTCGCTGCGGAGGAGGCGGCGTGGGTGGGCGCGGGGCGCGATGAGACGGAGCGGCAGCGGCGCTTCGTGCACCTGTGGACGCTCAAGGTGGGCGGCGGGGGGATGGGGAGGGTGAAGGGGGGAGGAGGGGCAAGGGGAGGGTGAAGGGGGGAGGAGGGGCAAGGGGAGGGTGAAGGGGGGAGGAGGGGCAAGGGGAGGGTGAAGGGGGGAGGAGGGGCAAGGGGAGGGTGAAGGGGGGAGGAGGGGCAAGGGGAGGGTGAAGGGGGGAGGAGGGGCAAGGGGAGGGTGAAGGGGGGAGGAGGGGGAAGGGGAGAGGATGGGGAAGGGAGAGGGGGGGAAAGGTGAGAGGAGGGAACATTGGAGTGCAGGGTGACACTCCCCCCACCAAATGCATTGGCGCAGGGCTGCCCTGCCCGTGGCTCAGCGCTTGCTTTCGTTTCTTCCACCTCACCCAACCCCTCACTCCCTCTGGCACCATTTCTCTCCCCTCGCCTCTCCCCCTACCCCACATTTCTCCCCTTCCACGGCCCTACCACCCCGCTCTTCCCTCATGGTTTGCCCCCTCCTATGTGTCATGCGGCTCTGTGCACGGGTCCCTGCCAGGAGGCGTACGTGAAGGCGCACGGGAGGGGCATGAGCGCGCTGCCCTTCCGCTCCTTCGCCTTCCGCCTCTCACCGTCGCACCAAGCTGCCCTCGCCCTCCACCACGCCCTCGCTCCCCCTCGCCGCGCCCACCAGGTCAGCGTGCCTCCCCGCTCCCCTGCACCTCTCCCTCCCCCCTGTGGGACCTGTTTCAGTCAAGGCAGTACCCATGTGGAAGCATGCAGTCGTCCTCTTTGACACATGACCTCACAGGTTGCATGCAAATGGTCGCATCTTCCTCTCTCCCCCCTCCTCGCCCTCACAGGCGTGGGCCATAGGCCTCACCCACCACTCCAGCCCCGCCCCTCCTCTGCTCGCCTGCGACCAACCATCCCCCGGTGCCTCCCCTGCCACTCACTCTTTGCCTCATGCCTCGTCGCACGAGATGCTCGCCTGCGATGTTGATGTGGCGCAACCAGAGAGCGCCATGTGGCGCAGCATGCTTGTCCAGCTGTCGCCAGCCCACGTGCTTGCTTTGAGCCTGGGCTGCCAGCATCTGCCCCACCACCATGCCTTGCGCCTGCATGCGTGGAACACTGTTCCTCTCCTAAGAGATGAGTCTGTTACAGACATGTCGGGGCTTGGCATCTCACTTTAGTTGATGTTTTATCTTATAAACTAAGTAGTTTATGGAGAATGGCTGATTGACTAGGGGGGGAGTACCAGAAGAGTGTGAGGAGTTTTGGTGTACCCCCTAAGATGTACCGTACCTCGCTACAGCCTAACCAACATATTAACATAGTTTAACACGCCCCCATATGCTAAGTGAGGGGCATCAAAACGAGCAAGACAAACAAGCGGTCACAAGGTAAGTCTAGAGAAGCAACACAACAAAGCTCAATGTGCATCACAAAGTCACCGCACTGTCTGAGCACAAGCAAGAGGCCACCAAGGCCAGTTCAAGAGTTCACAGGTATATATAAGACAAGCAGAGTAAGAAAAAGGGGTAAGACTACAGCAACCGAGGGCCTACCTCAACAAGGTCTTGTTGCAGACAGGGCATGGTGGTCGCCAGGCGGATGGGCTTTGGTGAAGATGTCTGCAGTGTTGGCCGCTGAGGCCACAAAATCCCAGGGCCCTCGCTAGTCCCTGAACTCCCCCGATGCATCAGACGGGCCCGCCCGTCTGATCCATAAGAAATGTCTAGTTTTCCTTGTCTTATGGATCAGAAAGTGTAGCCATTCTTGTATGATCAATCAAAAATCTTAAAAATAACCTACTACTCCTACATTCACTGCTACAGCTCCACAATTTTGACTTAAGCACATCATCCAATTAACAACCAGGATAGTCATTATCGCTAAGTGCAACAGTCCCACGCACATCTACTCTTTCGTTTTCACTGTCACAAACTAGACTTGGGCTTAGGCTTTCTTTCTACGCTTGCACTCTCCAAGCGACATAGGTGTATTCTCAGCTGCTTTGTTAGGTGCTGGAGCCTCTGTCTCTGCCCCTGTGTGCTTGGTCTTGTTGTAAGCCTCTCCACTGACTTCTCTTGCAGGGCTCCTCTTTTTTTATGCGCGCCACATATTCATTACGTCGTCCCAGTCGGGATCACACTGGAGCAAGGAGATGCACATGAGGTCCGCGAGTCGCGCGTTGCAGAGGTTGCTCCGGAGCCAGGACTTGATGACGTTCTGGCGACTGAAGCCACGCTCGCACTCCACGGTGCTGAGCGGAAGAACGGTCACAGCCACCCACAGTCGACCGAGATTGAGAAACGAGAATTCCCAATCTCCACTCCTCATCATGTTCTTCAGGCCCACATGGAACGCTTGACCCTTGTACTGCGACGCCATCACTCGGGTGAAGCGGGGCAGCTCCCGCTCGGCCTTCTTCCAGTTGACTCCTGTTAACACATACAACACACGTATTGAATATAAAACTGTGTACAAGGTTCAGTAGACTTAACAAATACTTGCACACATGGAAAGCGTGAACAAACCGTACTTGGCAGAGAACACTTGTCAGCGTTGAACATCTGGCGGAGGGAGCTGAACCACTCCGCGCACAGACGGTCACGCTTGGCCACGTCCTCCGGGTAGGCGTCCGGCAGAAAAAGCTTGGCCCCTACGAGGGATTTCAAGCTGCGCATGCGGATAACAGCCTATCGATCACCTCCTTCGCAAAGAGGGTGGTGAGGGTGACACAGGATTCAAGGTCACCCTTTGAATCTTGCCCGTCCACTTCCAACTCATGAAGCTTGAAGCGATGGGTAACGGCGGTGCCCCATCCATCCCCTTTATGGATTTGCCTGGACGATGCTTTATCTCAAAGTAGTATTCTTGTAACTTCATAGCCCAGCGGGCGTTGCGGCCTGTCAAGTCAGGTGTGTGCATGAGCCAAAACAAAGGCTGGTAATTGGTTACCAGGGAAAACCTCCGCCCGTGAAGATGCACCCTGAAGTGCTTCACTGCCCATAATTCCGCCCTCGTAGGACGAGTAGTTAGCTTTCGCCGCATTGCAGCTTCGTCTCGCAAAGGCCACCACCTTCTCCATCCCTTCCTTAACCTGCGCCAGCACTGCTCCCATGACCGCACTACTCCAGTCCGTGTACAGCACCAATGGCTGGTCCGCCTCAGCCAACTCCGACACCGCCCCATTCTTCACTGCCCCCATCAGGTCATGGACCACCTTCTCCTGCTCTTCACCCCATTCCTACTTCTGGTCCTTCCACAGCAGCTGGTTCAGAGGGGTTGCTCGCCGACTAAAGTTCGGCACGGACTTCCTATAGTAATTGAGGAACCCCAGAAGAGCCCTCAATGCTCCCTTGTCCTTCGGCACGGTGACTCGATCCAGGACCTCTACCTTTGCCTTCTGAATGCTGATCTTTCCCCCCTCCACCTCGAGCCCCAAATACTCCACTGTCAGCTGCCATGTCGGCTTCTCGGATGTCATGTCAGTCCCGTCTTCTCGATCGCCTCTTGTGTGGCTTCAACATACCTCACGTGAGACTTGCTGTCCGTGCTGAACACTTTCACATTGCCTATGTAGCAGGCTGCATTCGGCACGTCCCTTAACACTTGGTCCATTGTTTTCAGAAACTCCCCTGACCCAGACTTCAAGCCAAATAGCATCGTGTGCCACTCGTACTGCCCGTCCGGCCCATGGAATGCCGTCTTCTTCTTATCCTCTTCCGCGATGGGTATCTGATTAAAACCCTGCCTAAGATCCAGCGTGGTGAACACCTGGGCGTCTGCCAACTTATCGAATATCTCATCCACCATTGGGGTCTGGTACCGCTTCATCACGATCACCTTGTTAAGGCCCCTATAGTCCCCGCACGTCCGCTTCAATAGCACCTTCCCCATCATGTATGTCTGCTCAGCCACCACCGTTGCAGCTGCGTATTCCGAGGTCGATCGCCTAATTAGCCTCGCCTCCATCAGCTCCTGACATTTCTCGGTGCACACCCTTGTCTCCTCCGTTGTCATTCTCCTACGCCTGTGATACACCGGCACCTCCGTCGTGAGATCTATGGTGATGTGTGCCACTTTGCAGCGCCCTAATTCCTTCACTGAATACGCGAACGCCGCCTTGTGCTGCCTCAGTACTTCCTTCAGCTCCGCCGCATCCTCCTCTGCCATCCCTTCTCCCATTTCACGCTCCTTTTCCTCTTTCTCCGCCACCTAGAGTTCCCCGTTGTTCCAGCCCACTTCCTGATATTTATTTTCGAGCACAATATCCGGCAGCTTGCCCCCTAGTGACTGTTCGGCGGTCTCCGGCTGCTCCTTGCCCTTTGGTTTCTTAGTGTTGGCCATCAAAGCGAAATCCAGTGGGGTTAGGCGCCCGAACTCACTCACATAGCTTTCCCTTCGCCTAGTCTCTTCCACAGCCGCTTCCACCCAGCTGAAATCCTCCCGCTTCTTATCCACCATCTCCTCTTCCCATGTCCCTAGAAGCCTTATCTCTGCCCACTCTGCATAAGGCTGGTAGTCTTCCTCCTCCTCATCCTAAGGATAGACCTATCTCTCGCGACCGGATTGCCCAATGTCTGTTGTGCCCGCTCAGTCTCATCTAACTCCCCCAGCATCGCCCTCGCCAGGGCCTCCTTTGCTGCTGCCCGAGCCGTCTGTGGCCTCACCGCTGTTGCTTTCTGCAGCTTCCTCTCCAAACTTGCCTCTGTATGGTACATCCAGATAGTCGCCACCAGCCAATGCATCATGTTCAGGTCCATGGCCCCCCCCAAGGCCCTCCTCCTTTCCTTCTCTGTCACCTCTGGGTGAGCTATTGCGTCTTCCATGAACCCCATTGCTAGCTCCCTTTCCCATGCTTGCTTTTTATAGTCATACACCATCCCTGGTCCAGGCCCTCATGCTCGATGAATGCGGCGGCCCCTTAGTCGGCCAGGCCTGCCTCGGCTTGCCCACCACATTGCACTGGAACTGGGTGGGGTGGTCCAGCTGTGTTACACACGCTGGCACCCCTCACCGCTGTTGCTTTCCGCAGCTTCCTCTCCAAACTTGCCTCTGTATGGTACATCCAGATAGTCGCCACCAGCCAATGCATCATGTTCAGGTCCATGGCCCGCCCCAAGGCCCTCCTCCTTTCCTTCTCTGTCACCTCTGGGTGAGCTATTGCGTCTTCCATGAACCCCATTGCTAGCTCTCTTTCCCATGCTTGCTTTTTATAGTCATACACCATCCCTGGTCTAGGCCCTCATGCTCGATGAATGCGGCGGCCCCTTAGTCGGCCAGGCCTGCCTCGGCTTGCCCACCACATTGCACTGGAACTGGGTGGGGTGGTCCAGCTGTGTTACACACGCTGGCACCCCATGCAGTTCCAAAATGTCCTCCATCAACAGCGGCACTGGCCATCCGATTAGCAGCAGACGGTAACGCAGAGCCGCTTCTATCACCCCGTTCATCCAGTACCTCCGGACTCGATGAGTGCGGCTCCCAGACTACGCCAGCTCACAAGCCACTCCTGGCCTAGCTCCGTGGTCACCTCTGCCTGCGCCACCTGCACCTGCTCCCTGACATCTCCCTCCATATCCACGTTTTCCACGATGTCAACACGCCCCCCTGGATCTTTTTTATCAGCTTTAACACCCTCACAAGCTCTCTGAAGAGCCGGCTTCGCTCGTCCCGCATGCCCGCTCCCTTCCCCGTACAAGAGTATCCCTGACAATCCCAGCCTACTGTCACTATATATATCCTTCCCCATTGCCTGATCGCCATCTCATCTACGTATTGTATGTGTCATCCCTGACTTTCCGTGCTTGCTTCCATCGCTCCGGTCATGAACTGGTGCGGGTATCGCTACTGCAGCTGCTCAGCATGCCACCACGCCAATTTCACGGCCTCTGGATCTTTCTCCACTAGTATCCACTTGTCCATACATGCCCACGCCTTCAGCAGCGCTGCCACCCCTGTATCGATTCCCCCAAATAGCTTTAACACCACCGTTGGTCCCAATAGGTGCTTCATTTTCAAGCACAATTCCTTCAGCGGCGTCTCTGGCTCGTCTCCTATCGGTGGCATCTCGTTTTACGTCTCCAGACAACCGTTCTGGCACCTTAATCTTCTGCAGTTGCGTGTACCTCCACCTTTGCACTGCCGTTTCATCCTCCGTTCCTTGCTAGGAGGCGCTCCGCCG